TTAAAGAAAACGTTAGCTCGGGTCTAATCATCGTGAAATAAATCCAATATTTTCGAATTGATTCGCAAAATTTTAAAGAAGATTTGAGGTTTAATATTTAAAATGCATTATATTAACTGATTTATTTGCACAACCCACGGGGACCATGCTGTAAGCGGTGTTCAATGTTAATAAAATGGCGTGAAATACATCCGTTTTATAAGATTAAAGGTTTACATCATGTAAAGGCATTTATCTACAGGGGATCTTTTAATTTTGAGATAATCTTAATCCACATGTAAGTTCGTGCCGTGCCTTTCAACAGACACAATGACCCTCTGTACACCGTTAACTAATTTTGTTGCATTACGTATTTTGTATTAGCAATCGCCAATGGCAATTCAAGTAAGTATATGAAATACAATAAGGTACAAGGGCGTTAATTAATCCAAATGATGTAAAACACCGTTCTTTATACGTTCGACACGCCCTTGGGTGTTGATTACTATTATAGTAAGTAATCGGACTAGAAAATCCAACACATTATGCTCAAGAGCTCTCCAGCGTCTATAAGTTCACATTTCGTCAGAAACTATAAGTTATTCAATGATTCGAGTGAAATACAGAAAATATTCTTCCCGAGAAGGTTGTATTTCACGATGCGCTAGCATCACGTTCTCCCAATGTCACAAAGTTAGGGAGCCGTTGCAAGACGTATTCTTCATTTACACTTCTTTTGTGTGTCAGAGTCCCTGTCAGAAGAAAATGGCTAAAATGTCTAAAATGTGCCAGATTTTCCAACAGGAATGGCATATCATAATTCATTCTAAATATTCTAGTAGAATCATTTAGGAATGACTCACAATAATACAGTTTAATATTATATGGAATTATTTTGTCATCATACAAATGCTGTTATTTCTGCGCTCTTTGTTCAAGAATCGTAGTCATAATAGTGTGAATGAGGTTGTGGAATCCTACCTACCGAAACAACAGGATATCTGTAAAGATCGAATTCAAATAGAAAGATTTGTTTGGAAACAAAAGTTTGAAATATGTTATGGTCAGTTTCCAATTAAAGGTTTGTTTCCCTACTATGATGATTACTTTCAATGTCACATACTGAGCTCTTTCTCACAATGAACCTTTATTTGGAAAATATTTACCCCTTTAATTGTATTGTGTTTACCCTTTGGGCATTTAGTTTGTGCCAATTCCATTCATCGTTGATAATTTCTGAGATGTTCTCATCAAAACACAATAGAACACAAGCTTGGATACCAGGTTTGGATGACCAATGTTCGACCACGGCCATAATTTAAACATCTCCGCGTTTCTCTCATTGATACAGCCTCAATACAATGTATGGCAGGGACTCGCGTACCATCAATAAAACAAAGAATGTGACACTTAAACAACTGCTGGAATTTAATTATGAGCTTTATCATTTTATGCGAGATTTGCTGAGAATTATTTGTATTTTCCACACAATTAATCAACTGACAGTGATCGCATTTGGCAATAGCATCATTTTGAAAAGTTTCGCGTCCCCTAGCTTCTGTACAACAACCAGATGTTTGCCCTGTTGTTTTATTTTCAAGTTTTATACTCTAATCAGAATTTTGTTTGTGTTGAACATTGTTGCAAACTTTGACTTATTCAATACAGTTTACAGGAGCGGATCTGAAAATCAAGAGGAGGGGGTCCAAAAAGGGAAAAATGGGTCCAATTCTGATAGGCCCAAAATCAACAAATAATGCCCAGTAATGACAGTTTCCCGGGACAGTTTGTCATCTAAATTGCCCAATTAATGTGGGGAGAAGCAGATTTTGGGCCCCAACTTCTTTTCGGAGCCAACCAAGGGGGTGGGGGCATCTAGGCCTAGCCCCCCCCCCCAAATCCGCACTGATTAACTCGAATACATGATATTATATACCCTGCGTGCAGAGTCTAGTTAAACTACAGACGAAGCTCTCTTTTAAGAAGTGAAGTCAAACGAATGCAAAGGGTAGATATTATATAAGCTGGCGAATACATATAAAAGCGAGGTGAATACATATATAAGCTAGGCGAATACATATATAAGCCAAGACACGCTGGGTTAACTCTGAATAGAATTAATAATACTAGTAAACAGAACAGTAGTCTTGCTTAGAAGACCCTGTACCCCCCCCCCCCTTTATCCTTCTCTCTATATGTATATTGTCAGGTAAAGAGAGTGAAGGTGACGGGGGGGGGTGGATAAGTCTGAGCAAGACTAACAGAACAGAAAGTAAACATTGAATCTATCTAACACATTGGGATCCACTGTTTTCATCACTATATCTAACACAATATGATGGTATCGTCATTAAGTTAATTATTGAACAGGTTAAAGTTCAGTAAATTGACATCATATATCATATAATCTGAACACACATTTTCATGCATTTTTCGTAACAAATCATTGATAGTTACATTACATATCATAGTTTATCCACGTTTCCACTTTTTGATTTTCTTTTAAAAATAAAACAAAATTATTTATTGTGTTATAGTCTAATGATGTCCACCTGGCGTTGAGGAGGCGTCCGTGATGTTGGCCCGAGGACATTACCGTATACAGCATAGGAATGTATGTACTCTTTCTCACGGTAAATGCCAAATAATTCTCCCTCCATCATCGTGCATTGATAGTTCAATGCGGTTTCCGTTTTGCTGGCTAAACAGATAAATCTATGATTGGAGATGGGAGAATAATGTGACGATTGCACTCCGTGAGCCAAACATCTAGGTGCAGCGAGGTAGTTAGTTTTGTGTTTGATTGGTTGGAGACTAGTTCATCCATCTGATTGGCATTGCCACGCGTCTCCTTTACGTTCACCTTGCTGCTTAAAGTGTGGGAAAGTGAATATTGCGACAAACAAAAACTTTTTCATTCATATCTAAATGATTTTGATTGTAAAATGGACCACCTGTACATATGTGATTTACAAGTATGTTTCCACAAAATGTCTAAAGCATGATACTTGCTATGACAAAGATATGTCTTGTGTTTATTGAAAAAGAAGTATTGAGATTTGGATTGGCTCACACAGTGAGCCTATGGGATCGACTTGGCGTCCGTCCGTCCGTCCGTTGGCCCGTCCGTCAAATCATATCAACATTCATTTTATGTATATCCATGGTGCCTATTTGACCTGTCATCGCCATTTCCGATCCCAAGTTTGCCCGGTTTCCGAGAAATTGTGGTCTTCTGTGGTCAGTAACATTTCTACCATCGCCGCACTGCGGTCGAATACTTTTGCAGTCACATTTCCTACGACAGCCGCACGGTGAATTTTGAATTTCTGTTGATAAACGTTAATGCTTATTTTCATTTTATTTACATCAGTACAATGTATGAATGTTATTCATAGTGTTAGGATATAATATAAAATAAAAAATTGTTAGTGAAACATTGACCAATTGTAACTTAATCTTTTGTAAAATAAGTTGCTTTGGTATCAGTGAGCTTACATCAAACAGTTTATGTATTACAAATGCAATCTTCACAGCAGAGTTATGCGTGAAAAACTGTTAGATTACCCATCAAAACACCACGGCAGACGCAAGTCAACATAATAGTCTATAAGCCCGACATGCGGCCACCGTGGGACCTTTCTGCGGTCTGGCAACGGCCTGTTGATTTACAGGGGGAATGCAGAAATGAACATATACTACAGTATAAAAATTACACTGCTGCCATGCGGTCTGTAAAAAAACTGGATACGCGGTACAGAAACCGCAAGGCGACCGTGGTTTTCCTACGCTCGCCGCAGCAATTCACTGTTTCAATTGTCCTGACGTACGGCTGCCGTACGACAAATCTGACCCAGTCACATTTAATCTACGGCAACCGTACGGCGACCGTTGTTTCCCAAAATGTCTATATCGATTTTGTGAAGCTACGGCCGCCATACAGCAAATGTGAATAACTTGCTAAGTCGTTAAGTTTCCCTGACTAACTTACTAACTTACTCATGCCATTTGGACAAAAAAGTTTTTTCTTTACAAAGCTAATTCTTTCAAAACATAATGGGGTTACAATTATTACTGTCTGAGCACAGGGCTGTATGTCCTTCATTTGTTATAAGTTCGAATTGCTAATGAAATCAAAAATTAAATGCGTCTTTCTAAACTAGCGTATCAATGCGTCATATTATATAAAGAAAAACAAACAATGATACAACGTTTCCCTTATCGCTCTTCTTAAATTCATTCATTTTGAAATGCACGTTTTTCGCCCATTTTACTGCATTTATGAAAATGAATGTCAAAATGATTTAGGTCATTAAACATTGACACTGGAGACTTCAGTGCCGAAAATCATTAGATACTTCAACGTGTTATTTTAATTTGTTAGTTTTAACGTTTTTGAATCGCTAATGGCTTCTTGGGATTTGTCCATGTTGATGATCTGAAGCGGGTTCTTTATCATTTGATAGCTTATTCTGTGGTAATCGTGGCAGGAACATGGTTTATAAAATAAATATTTGCACCAAGTCTATTTTGGTAATTAAGGTATCGATAAAAGCCTATGCAGCTTAAAATGTCATCTTGATATCGTAGTGGGACTTACACGTGGACTAGAAAAAGATCAACAAGTCCAAAACTTGAGTTTTATTTACATTTCCCACGACTTATTTGTTGATCAGTGGAGTTCTTATAGGATTAGCCAACCAAGTTTGATAAGTTTTGTGTACATATCAGGTTCTCACGTTTACTCAGCAAGCAATTTTGTTCACATATTACCCAAAGTTAACATTATCTGAGGCAGGGCTTCTTTTCAATTGCCGTCGAGATAAGTACCCATGATCTCATGATGACGTCATGTGCTCTCCACAATGCACACAGAGGATGAAATAAAACAAGAAATTAACCCAAAATACAAAAGGTACCCTCTGTTCCAAGTAAATAAAAAATAATGTGAAACGTTGACCAGATAGATTGATTTATTTAAACAGAGACACGTAATTATATGTCTGATCGTTGCCATGATAATATAAAGTGGCTGCTTTTTAATAATCTGAAAACATGTCTGAATGTAAAATAATGTATATTTGTGCGATATAAAAAAGCCTTTTGCATGTGAAGGTAAGTCCAGGTTTAGCATTTTAAACTAAAGTAATTTAAAAACGGTCCAAAATAATGATGACTTAAGAATGGTACATTGGTTATAAAAAGCATAATAGTATCTTCGTATTACTTAGCAAAATCTATTTCGAATATCAAAGTGTGTAAATATTTGATGCCCTTTTGCCTGAAGATTGAGGTCAATTTTAGTACATACACATCAAGACATCAACAATTAAAATTTCATATTTTTTAAATATTGACATTGACATGATCAAGTCCAGGGATGAAGAAAGAAAATTTGAAATAATATAAAAGAAATGTATTTACAATAACAGCCATTTTAATAAAATTAACAAAATTGGAGTAATTATCTCTCAAGAACGTGATTGCCTCAGTTCTGTCTGCAGCCATTGTGCAGAATGGCTGGCACGTGCAAATCTGCGGGTGCCAGACATCCCCATTCATGTGAAGTGTCTACGAGCATTCCAACACACAATTAGGTTCCCACTAGTTCTGCTAATTTTGAAGCACATGCAATTTCGTTTGAAAATGGGGAAAGTCCTTTCGAAAAGAAAGAAGAAAAAGTAAATTACGTATCTAAAAAAATAGTATATGCAAAAGCACATTGTAGTAAAATAAACATTCCATGTTTAAGATTATATAACAACATGGTATAATAGTATTCAACGCATATTTAGAAAATGTATTGCATAAGACATTGGTCACTCTGATACAAATCTAATTTTTTTATCAATTTATGTGGAAGTCCCATTTAAAATGGTTCATTCTCTTGCCAAATGTTTGCATTTCAAATCGACTTTCCCACGTTCAAAATACAAAGCCTAGATTTGCTCATAAAATAGCTCAATAATAGAACCCGGGCTGCAGGTGAATTTGCTTTTGTGTGGAAGAATGTCAAACCACGACCTTATTTTACATGACAATGTCTGCTTTAGTTGCTAGCTGATGGGCGGAGATTTCCCACACTTAAACTTACCATACTCTCAATGGAGAAGACGCGTGGCGATGTCAGTCATTCCAATATCGTGTTCCAATAACCAATCGCAGATTCGATAGCATCTGGCGAGATACATTCCGTCACATTAGGCGTCCTTTGATTGGTCAATAGCACAGGTATGCAGCGTGGGAATCTGCGCAAAATTACTTCACATAAAGATGAAGTGAACAACATTTAATCAGCCATCATCCAGGTGAGGTCATTATTTACATCCATTTCACCAACCAAACAGCATATCATCAGTTACGAAGAAGATGTCTGAGAAAGCTATGACAAAATTAGAGGGAGAAAAGATATCATCGTGCAATGCAATGGATAGAAAGGTAACTTTTTAGATGATTTGGGATTTCAACCATGTAATTTGAAAGCATTCAATGCATGCTATTGTTATGTAACAAAAATATAACTTAACATACTTCCACCGCATCACTAACTTAATTATGTCTTGAACAGACTTAAGTTTTGAAAAGAATCAATTTTAGTTTTAAAACTCGAAAATAAGTACACAGATCTAATGAATTGGTTTATTTGCAGACGAGTAAACCACTGATGGAAAAAAGAAGACGTCAAAGAATAAATAACTCACTGACGCAGATCAAAACCCTTGTTCTTCAAGCCATGAAAAAAGACGTAAGTTGAGATTTATCAAAAGAATATTTCATCACAGGATTAAAAATGAGAAACTTTATATGCGGTAAAAAGGTTGCTATAGCCAAATGACTGTTCATTCACCTTGTCTTATTGTTTGTGTTTATATATTTGCAGCCTTCAAGATATTCCAAATTGGAGAAAGCTGACATACTTGAGATGTGCGTCCACCATCTTCGAACTGTTCAAAAACGCCAGTTATCTTTGACTCAAAATGATGCTAGTACTTTAAACAAATACAGAGAAGGATTCTCAAAATGTGCAACAGAAACAATGAAGTACCTTCAAACAGGGAATAATGTTAATATGGACGCTGATGTACGTAATATGCTTACGGGACATCTCTCAAACTATGCATCAAGCATGTCTACAACGCCTGTATCTCCTTCACAAAATGTGACATCCACAATGGAGCAACCACTTAACATTCGAATCCCACAAGTTCCATCAAAGATCGCTCAACCTATAAACATTCAAATTCCACAGAGTCCAGTTGGTACGAACACTTTATACAAAATGAGTCAACAAACTGTAAGCCAGCCACTATTGGTTGCCAAGAATGGGTCTCCAAATGCAGTGAACTGTGCATATGTCGTGCTAGGGCAGGCTAACATCGTCCCTATGAACTCTTCTGGAGTATCAAATACTCTTGTGGTATCACCAACATATGGCCTTACACCGAATCAGTCAAACACAAGTCCTACAATGGGGGCACTTGCTCCATCACCCATAGCCATACAGACAGTCACATCTGTACCAGTGCAAAGTAACACTCCAAACGTTGTGAAATGTGAAACAAACAATAGTTCATTACAGAAATCTCCAATGTGGAGACCATGGTAAACGTCTACAGATAATTGTTTCTCCAAAGCCAAACAGTGGTTTAAATCCCACAATCTACTAGTTTATTGTACATGTTATAAGCTGCTGGTCATGTTGATATGTGTTGAATGATAATTCAACTATAACTAGTTAATTATCCCCATTCGTGGATCTATACTGCTGATATTTTGTTACTGCTGATAATGAAATTTCATTATTACTTAATTTTACTTATTTTAACTGCTGAATTATGTCACTGCCGATAGAGTTCCCTTGTTGTAAAGTTTACTCACTTTAACTGTTGAATTATGTTCCTGCCGATAGAGTTCCCTTATTGTAAAGTTTACTCATTTTAATTGCTGAATTATGTCACTGCTGATAGAGTTCCATTATTGTAAAGTTTACTCATTTTAACTGCTGAATTATGTCACTGCTGACAATGGCTGATAGAGTTCCCTTATTGTAAAGTTTACTCATTTTAACTGCTGGATTATGTCACTGCTGATAGAGTTCACTTATTGTAAAGTTTATTCATTTAAACTGCTGAAAGGGATTTTCTATTGTTTATATCTTAATCATCAAAACTCAAAACTGTGAGCTTCAATGTAGATATTGTGATGAAACAAATATCAACATTTCATTCTGTTATTTCCTGATATTATTGATAATAATCAATTATGTATATCTGCTGGACGGATCTAATCAGGTATATGTATTGTAGTACATGTACTTCAACTGCATTCCATATGAATTGTGATACAATTATGTTTATGCTTTAAATGGATATTAAATAAAACAACTAAAATATCACACATGCAATTCATCTTTTATGTTTGATGTAGGAGAATAAACTATTACTATCAGTAACCGTAAACACGAAACAAATAATTGAGCACAACACTCATTCCCCATATTCACCTATTGAAATAGCATCACACCCATGAATATAGATAAACAGGTAAAACTACTTTTGAAACGTTTGGTAACAATCAAGAATTTCACCTTGTACATCGTTGTCATTTAATGTGACATGAAATCATTATTTTAGATTATTTAAGAAACAATCAAAGTTTTCGCGCCTAAGTAGAATCTCGTAGAATCAACTTCGATTACAATTATGTCGAAGTAAATTATGTGATTACTGATCAAATCTCACGACATCTTGATGTAGGTGAAGTGATTAACTATTTAGTAAAATCAAAAATGTGACATTTAGAGAGGGATTTATTCATTAGCATCTTGTCTACTCTAATTATTATAGATGGCACAACCTTACAGTAAACACATGTGGTTACAAGAATACAAATGCATACAGGAAAAGCGATGCAACAATTATTCCATCATTGTAAATAAAGATGGCAACACCAGACGAGTACAATCTCTTGAAATATTTTGAAAATCAAAATACTATAGACGTTTCTGGTCAGTGATGTGTTTATTGTTCAACTTTCCAAACCGCTGCCGGCTGTTCAGGGAGCATAAATGAGGGGTCTGGAGTCTGTCGCGTACTTATTCGAGAATATAAGTTTCCTCGAAAGAAACTAGCACAATAGGTCTACACGCGCCGCCTATTAGCAATAATTATAAACACACCTGCGCACTCTGTGCGTTTGCAGAATTGTAAACTGTAAATGTGAAAGTCGTAACAATCGGGCATAACCAAATTTTTTTTATCATAACTTAAAATGGTTTTAGCAGATTGACAATTACGTAATATTTAAAAAACTACAGACCGACGTACGTTTTGTGTGCGTTTTTCATCGTGATTTAAAATGGTTAAACACGTTCTAATAACGACCTTGTAAAATTACTGTTGTCATTGGATTCTTAGATTTCAGTTGTATTTCCATTCTCTAATTTTGCATCCATTCATCTTTGAATAGAGGACCGACTACCGGCCATCTGGACCCAACCTATGGAGAATGACTGGTCGGTGATCGGTCTCTTTCGTAAGTTCAAAAATGACTACATCTTTTCATGCCAGACTATTTAGGCTGGATTTAAGATTTCATCTAAATAGTGTGTACATTTGGGTATCTAGAAATGTAGAATACAAATTACCAATTTTCTCATGCGAATATTAAGATGCAGCAAGTGTGTATACCGTTGACTAACATTAGGTATCATCCTTCCCTTTTGATATTATCATCTTTTTAAACATGCCCTTATTTAAATATGCTTACCAATGCTAGAATTAATTCCAAAGGAACAGCAATTTGAAAAATGGTATGGGTGATTAACTATACGTATATCAAGGTTAAGTGGAATCCATCAAGCTAAATACTTAACCTTTGATCTCTGTTGCCATACCTAGAAGTATTTACTCATACAGTATCTTTTATTTCACTCTAATAATGTAGAATTCCATCTCAAGCATGCATAATGTATAATATGGAGTGATTCCAATGAATAGTTTCTTAGACATAACAGTCCATCATATACTAGACATTCTGAAACCAGACATTTTCACAGAAAACTCTTATGTGGTGAATGTTGCAAAAACATTGAAAAAATATTGGTCAGTTGCAAAAAAATATTGGGCAGTTTTTTTAAAAAGCCAGATATGGCCAAATTACCAGCAGCCTAAAACCAATCTGATTTCAGTATCTAGACAAGGTGCATAATAAATTTTAATATAGTAGTGAAAAATCGCTGCTGAAATTATAGATGGCAATATCTAACGGGTGTTCCCTTCGACTGTGACAATCTCAAGGTCAAGGTCCCTGCCCAGGCCAAATACAGATAACTTTGGCCCAAATGCCCTAATACGTCACTTCCGCTGAATAGAAAAAAGTAGTTTTCAAAAGTGAATGTAGTCCCAACACAATTGTGATCATGACGAGTCAGTAAGCTAGTATGTAGGCACAGTTGTCATCATTTTGCAATGACAACATGCCATTTCTTCTGAAAATGCGTTTATTTGGGTTCTGAAGGAAAATTTCGAATCAAGTGGCGTATTAATTTTGCCTTCATTTTTATGAATTTCAATTACTGTCGGCAGAGAGAGGGGGTAGTGTCACAATTGACCAATTATTTCAAAAAGTAGATGATTGGCTCCTATTGAGTTTAGTGTCAAAATGTAGCTTAGACATAGGTTTAGAACCTCAGATAGGCCAGTGAGGCCACGAAAATCCATAACTCGAGATAAAAAGTCAGGCGTTTGCCCTTTTGCCCATTGACTAGTATGGTGACATGAATTAGGGCAGTTTGGCCTTTGAGAAATAGACATGTATTTACAATACATGGTTTATAAAGTTCCAGGACGATAAGATTTGGTCAAAATACCCATTTCCATAGCTCGTCATTAAAAATATATATCACGAAAAAGGTATATTAATTTAAATTCTTACATTTATTTACTTAATATTTTAGTTGTTGATAAAACTACAGATTGATAGAATATTGTTGCTCATATGGCTTATTACACATCTACAGTGATACTTTGAAGTGACGACAAAAGATAGAGTGTTGAAGGTAGTCAATAAAATCGGATCTTTAATCCGCGGATTCAATAAAAACTGGTTTATAATGCAGAAATGCCGGATCACAGATTTTTCCAGTGAGAGACCTGTCATTCTTTCACCTTAATTTAATTTATTATTTAGTGTTTTTTCAATAAATAAATATTTTCTAGGGAAAAGAACCATTTTTCTAATGCGTAGCATCATATTATCATGTAAAATCATGTAAAAATAGCCCATAACCATATGTTTCACTCTACATAATAGAAATAGCAATGAGAGGATGGTTATTCAGAAAACATTTGCAATTGATTCAAATGGGAATATCTCACTTTGAAACTTTTGTCAATTTTACATCAGAATGAGCCATATTCTCATTCTCAGTCATATATGCTAGTTTTTGTCAATTGAAAAAGCAACATTTCTATTAGTTAACGCAAATATTATTACAATTTGTTTGAGAAGTTTCATTCATAACTAATTTGAACATACTTCGAGAATCTTGTGATCACATAAACGGTGTTATGATATTATATATTATAATATTGATATACAAGTACTGTTTGGGTCCTCTTTGCTGTTCTGACAATGTTATTTACATTTATAATACAACAACTACTCATTCTTGACATTCCCTGGGGAATGAGTACATTGAGGTTTCTGCCAGAGACAAATATGAAATAGGTACAAAACAAAGTTTTTATTTCTCAACATTGACAAAATTATGTAGTGTTGAAATACAGTATCATGAATTATAAAAATTGCATATCAAGTGTGGTCATTTCCCTAAAAATTATAAAGGATGCATGCAGATTACAAAGATAAAGTATCCAAATAGGAGCCATCGCGTATCACTTACAAATATGCCTACTCTGGATTAAAATTCAGAGTTATCCCTTTCAACAAATAATTAATAAATAATAAAATTGTTGTATATAATAAGAAAACATTGTATCAAAAGCAACTAAGGAATTGTGTGGCTTTTAAATTAAATCCAATTAATTGGACGATTATTCTTGTTGATATTTTACAAAGTTCAACATTTTTAAGAAAGGGAATTCAATGTAATGAAGATGCGAATTTGCAATACTATTACTTGGACTTACCCTTTATTCTCAATTCCAAAACCATTTTTAAGATCTCCTTCCAAGAATATTTTAATGACTGTTTTTATCATTTTCAAACATTTTGTATAATGTTATAGTTCCTTGAAGGGCTGTTAAGGGATATATCATAATAAAAAAACGTAAAGTGAAAACATTCAAGAAATTCCACTTTATGAATAGGCAAATCAAATAAATCAATCATTTGTCTTGTTAGAAAACAAATTCCCCTTATTACAACATTTGATATTTTTTATTTTATTTCCAGGCCCAAAAATCATCATTGTAATATAGTCATTCACCCACTCCCCTAGCATTGTATCTTCCACAAACATGGTCAATAGTATAGTTTCCATATAGCTTTTGAAATCTCGCTAAATCTCGTTTTTCGTGAGATTTTAAGAGACTTGCATATTAGACCTCTAATGACTTACATTACCTTCTTTTAAATGGTATATTTGAATTCAGTGGAATGTTTTCTCCTAAAATAGCATTGATTTACACAGTTATGTAATTTGAATAATTTTCTATGACAATTTAAAAAAAGTTGGGCCAAATGTCCATAGATGCAATGCTAAAATTCTTTAAAACCGTGGATTATTTGTATGTCAATCAACATTAGCATGTTTAATCACAACATGTTCATAAACAGGGTCATCATGTGGTATATCATTCAAGTTTTATACAGATTCAACAAACACACTTTGATAAATCATGAAATTAAGCCACTTTTCCAAGATTTTAGCATGTAAGTGAATGGAGCTCTAGCCAGAGTTAAAAGCTGAATAAAAGATGGCAGCACGAGATTTCATTGATTTTTCTGCTATTTAGAAACTATCCTATTGAACAGCATCCCCCAACATATGTAAA